GCCATGTGTGCCCGCAGCTGCTGCAGCAGGCTCTCCCAGTAGCCCAAGTCCAGGTTGGGGCCACCGGCATGGATCTTGCCTTCGATGCCCTGGAAGATGGCCTGCAGCTGGCTGTACGTCTTCCCCTTGAAAACGGACTGCACGTCCGAGCTGACCGAGGCGTTCACGCCCTCACGCCGCTCGCCTGCGGGGGGACGGTGCTCAGTAGGAGACCCGCAGTGTGGACCGCCCCACTGTCTGCCCATGTCTCCCCACTGGTCCTTCCTCCCTGCCTTCTCTACCCTCCAGCACCGGGGGAGCCCCTCCTGAGTGCTGACTCTGGCTCCATGCCCAGCAGGACCACCTGTGTCCTCGGCCCGCCCAGCAAGTGCAACACAGCACACAGACACCGCGCCAAGATCAGGTGCTGAATCACTTCTAGGGGGACACGGGTCTCTGGACCCCACTGTGTGGCTCAGAAAGGCGGTCTACCCTATCTGAATAGACACGAAGCCCTTCCCATGCCAGGCCGTGACACCTGCCAGGCCAGTGGCCAACAGCACGTGCGCCCCTCCCATCCCCACTGGCAGAACTCCTGGCAGGAACCTCCGCTCCAGTGCAAAGCCTGAGGCCCCGCCGTCGAGCCCCTCCCCCCATGTCTGCTCTGTGACTTCCCCAAGGTGGGGGCTCATCAGAAAACCACTCATGTTTCCTGCACCAAGCCAGACCCGGGCGTTGGCACAGACCACAGGTGCCCTGTGCGTCAGGAGCCAGCAGCCCCTGCCCCTGCTCAGAACCTTCCACCCCTGCTGACAGGCTGAGGACCAGGACCCACACCCACATCCCAGCCAGCGGGACAGGGTGGGGGACCAGCTTCCCTTTGGCTCATCAGCCCAGGCCCAGAGGGGAGTGAAGAGAAAGAGGAGCACGAACAGGATCCCCGGGACGGGGGCTGTGCCTGAAATGACACACAGGTCTCGGGGAGCCAGTCCCGGCAGCACCCCCTCGGCCTGTCCTGCGCTCCCTCCCAGACCAGCTGCCGGCGGGAACTGACAGCCCGGGTGGGAGACTCTGCAGGCGCTGTGGGGCGGGGGGAGGGGAAGAAGGCAGCCTGGACTGGGCTGTGCTTCCTGGGGTGGAAGAAGGCTGGGGCCCATGAGAGTTCATCTGAACAGATACACGAGTGTCACAGAAGGCAGGTGCACGCGGGGGCTGCCTCGGGGAGAGGGGCTCCTGTGAAGCCGAGGCTCAGCCTCCTGCAGGTGGGAGGCGCCTCAGAGGCATTCAATGATTTGTTCAAAGCCCGGAGGTCTGACCACATCTAGAGATGAGCTGCTGTACACAGGGTCGCTATCCATCACAAGCAACTCGTCGGCATATAAAAACAGTAACATACTATGACGGGTTTGGAAGCTGGAATGGCACCCGCTTCCTAAACAACACGCCTCCGGAAAGTCTACGAACTCTGACAAATGTCAATAGCTGTAGAGGTGCTTCAAACCTTTCGTTCATAGGGTCGCTATGAGTCATGCTCGACTCGAAGGCAATCAACAACAGAGGTGCCTTGGAAGAAAGGCCTGGCAATCTGCTCCTGAAAGCTCATGGCCTTGGAACCCCCCAGGGCAGATCCCTGCGCACCTACGGTCACTGAGTCTGAACTGTCTACACAGCAGAAAGTGACAGGTGACACCACTCGAGAACCTGGTGCTGGTTCACGCCACTGAGAGCAATGTCACTAACATGCCACCACGTTCACTGCAGTGGGCAGGGGGGCATGCCTGCCCCCAGCATCGTCCTCATCATCCACCAGTACTCACGCCCCACCTGGGGCACTAAGCGCGTCACCAGCCCCAGGGGCCCCCCAGGCAGGCACCTGGGCCCCCCAGGCAGGCTCCTGGGCCATGGTCAGCCCACCACACTGTGGATCTTATAACGCAAAGAAGCCAAGCAAGAGACAGCATCAACACAGGATGGGGCCAGGGAGGAACAAAAGCAAAACTGAATCTAAAACGATAAGAGATACCGCTCTTTTTCCTCTAAGGAAGGAAATGTCCCGACCACCCAGTATTTTACAGGTTCCTGGGGGGAAGGGCAGGGGCCAGGCAGCGCGCAGCATCACCACCTGGTGGTGGCCAGCGGTAAGGCACAAGGAATGGATAGGGACGCTGCCCAGGACCTGGCAGGGAACAGCAGGCCCTGAGTGCACTGGTGGGGTCATGGTCACGGCTTCCCTTTGATTACAATGAATTAACTTTAAAATTAATTTCTGCTGCAAAGAAGAAGAAAGGAAATCAAGATTGAGGTCAAAGGACTCATGGAGCACGTGAACTGGAGTCTCCTCGAGCCGAAGCCTGGAGGACGATGCCAGCCACCGTGCTGACCACTCCACTCCGAATGTGGTTACGTGAGGAGGCCGCTGAGAAAGTGGCAGAAATCTTCAGAACAAACCCCAAAACCATAAAAATAGTTTAGGCTCCCCTGTCTGACAGAGGCCAGACCAACCCCAAGGCTACAGGCCCCAGACACCGGTCAAGCCTGGGACTCTGACGACGCCAAGACTCAACATTCAGCCAAACACACAAACAAACAGGGTGGGGACAAGCCTCTTCAAACGCTCAACCTCACAAAACCAAAGGGGCGGCTCTGGCCAGAGATGACACTCGCAACGCAAGCAGGAGGCCAGATGGAAACTGGAAACTCAGAGAGGAAGTGGGAAGACTGCTGTCACACCGGGTCCTGAATTCAAACTCAAACCAACCTGCCCTGCCAGCTTCCTCTCAGGTCACGTTAAGATGTTCACACAAGGGGAGCTCTGGTGGCCTAGTGGCAAGAAGCTGCACTGCAATCCCAGAGGAACACGGTTCAAATCCACCAGATGCTCTGCCGAGGAAGGAGGGACAATCCCCTCCTGTACCAGTCAGATCTGATTTGACGGTACACACACAAATAATAAAATAAAAAAGAAAAAAAGATGTTCACACAACCCAGCTGCACCACGGCACCTGGGGTCTGGGTGGTCAGTTCCTGCAGGTAGCTCATCTGTGAGGGAGCTCAGGCCGCTCAGGAGTCCAGAGATGGGGGGCCCCGTGGAGACCACAGGGGTAAGCCAAGACATGCGGTCACAGAATGGATCTGCCCCACAGGCCTAACATCACCTGACTTGCACTACTCACGCCCACCCTGCCCCAACCTCAAATGGTGCACGGGGTGTCACCTGGCCCCTTGCCCGACGCCTCCAGTTTGCGGAGCTTGGAGATCTCGTCTTCGGTGATGATGGTCATGTCCCGCCAGAAATCGGCGTTCTTGCCTTGCTCCAGCTCCATGTACACCTGGGGCGGGCGGAGGGGTGAGGGGTCCACTCAGGGTGGGGTTGGAACAGAGGGGGTGAGTGGACGGAAGGGTGGGACCGGAGCCAGGGGCAAGGGGCGCAGTCAGGCTGGGGCCGGGGCGGGAGGCGCGTGGTGGGCACCTGGATGTCCTCCAGCAGGTCCTCCATGTCGGCCACTGTGAGCCCGTTGAGGAAGGTGTAGGGCTCATGCATCTCCACAGCCAGGTCATCGTCCTCCGCGCTGATGTATTTGGCGAGCAGGTCAATGGGCTTGGCCCGCCCGTCCCGGATGCGAATCTTAGAGCTGGAGGAGAGAGGGAACGTCAAAGTCGGGGCGCACTCCTCCCTGTGAACAACTCGGCCCCGCGCTCGTGAATGACCGCAGAGCACTGTGGGGCAGGCTACTAAGTGTGGGTGTGATAGTAGTCAAGGAGGGCTTCCTGGAAGAGGAAGCCCCAAGGGAGGAACAGGACAGCTGGTGAGGACTGTGCATCGGAGGAACAGGAGTCCTTCCTCCCAACCTTGTCTCACAGCTTGACCTGCTGCAGGTGGACAGTATTCTGCTCCTCGCACGTCTCACAGCACCCATCTTAAAACCCACACACCCTGCAGCCTGCCTGGGTCTCCCCAGCGGGCCCCTCAGCTATAGCCCTGCCCCACCACAGGCCACACCCCTCTGCATAGCCCTGCCCCACAACAGGCCACACCCTCCCCATAGCCCCGCCCAACAGAGACCACACCCTTCCGTCAGCC